CACAAAAGACTCTGGGCCTCCATTGGCACAACAGTGGCAACAAGTATTTCTTTCCATGTGGTTTTTGTCCTCTAGGAGCCTACTCTGGCTTTTCCCAAACAGGCCAGCAAGAAAGCTCCACTGCGAATGTGCTCATCAAGCCTCTGACTGTGTCACCTGTGCGAGTTAAGTCCTCTGGCCAAGTGCAGAGAAATGCACTCCGTCTCCTGTTGGAAGCAGTGTAACGTGTGGCACAGCACAAGGACTAGTTTGTGCAATTCATCATTTCCTACCACTATCTAAAAGACCAAGGAAGGACCTCCCCGCAAAGCTGTTTTAAGCCCACCAGCTGTCACCACAGGTGCACATTGCTACACACTGGGTCATTGTTTCTAGATCTTTTCAATACACTAGGGAAGAACAACAGAGCTCCTTGGGGAAAATTGTATAACCAGAGCATCAAGGAGCTACAAAGACTTTTGGGATTGTATCAGAGAAACTTGGGACCAGCATGCAGAGACTTTCACTGCCAGAAACAGAAATGTGAGCATTAGGGGACAGACTCAGCTACTCTGTGGCTGCAGCAAAAGGATTCCAGGTTTGAGACTAGCCCGGATGATTTAGTGAGACCCTATCTCCAGATAAAGGATAAAGGGTGAATCTGATGGTACGCACCTATAACCTCAGCCCTTGGGAGACTGAGGTAGGAGGATCAACACAGAGTTTAAGGCCAGTTTAGGCTACATAGTGAGTTGAAGGCCAGCCTGAGCTATATAGCAAGATCCCACCTCAAAAAACAGAAACAAAAGAAAAAGGTAAATAATAAAAAGGATTGGGGATATAGCTCAGTGATAGAGTAGCCTTGGGTTATGATTTCCAATAGTGAGGAAAGAATTGAAATATTTCACATATGCTTAAAATCCAATGATACCAAGGGGTAAAATTTGTTGATCATCTTTGGAGGATCCTAGGGAACTAATGTCATATTAAAAAGAATAAAATCAAATAATAGTTTTTCCTATATTAGTTGTATCACAGAGTAATCCAATAATTGATGAGAAATTTCTCTTTATAGATATGTTCCAACTAATCAATGAAGAATTTATAAAATTAGAATATCATTTTTTCAATTTCTAGTAAATAAATCAGTCTTGGCAAGTATCATAATCAACAACACAGTCACACCTATGTTTTCATATATACAAACACTCTCATACACAGACACACATTCACACATGGTCACAAGTCACTAGCCACACTAGACACATATGTCTCAGGAGGGAAGAATATAGTACCACCTGTGAAACTGTCATGCACACACATACACAAAAACCCTGAATCTTATTGAAGTTTTAAATTGAACCACTGGTGTACAGATTAGAGGAATGTGTTAAATGATGCAATAGAGGCACAATCAGAAAATTCAGCACTATGGGAAGCAGGCTTGTCTCTTTAAAAACAATTGAATTGCGAGATACACCCAAAGGTCAGGAAGGGAGATGGGGAGGGGAAGAGGAACTAAAAATCAAAAGGGACATTTCAACCAACTAATGCATGGACTCAATTGGAATTCTGATTCAAAAAATAAAAAAGTGTAGCAACAATTTTTTTTTTTTTGAGACAAGGTCTCACTATGTAGCCCAGGCTGGCCTCGAACTCACAGCAATCCTCCCAAGTGCTGAGACTATAGGCATGTGCTACCATGCAGAGACTTTTGTTTTTTGTGGTACTGGGGATTGGACTCAGGGCCTTCACTTAGAGCTATATTCCCAGCCAACCACCACTCACCCGTTTTCACTTTTTATATTGGGGGAAGGTCTCGCTAAGTCTACTTGCCAAGGCTGGGCTCAAACTTGTAATTCCCCTGCCTCAGCCTCCCAAAGTGCTAACATTATAGGCATGTACCACCATGTCCAGTTCAAAATTCTATAAGGTAATCAGAGACATGTGAAACCTGACTGCATATTTGATGATTTTCAAATGCTAACAATGACTAATTTTTAAGCATAATAATGATATCATATTTATATTTTAAAGACTCTTCTTCATTAGTGACACATACTGAAATATGTGTGTATGATGTTTGAGATTAACTTTAAAATAATCTGGATGGGGGAATACAGGGGAAAAGATCAGCCATGATTTTTTAATTATTGAAGCTGGTGGTATAGTGGGGTTTATTATATATTCTTTGTAGTTTTATATATATATGAAATTTCCTAAAATGGTTAAAATATTCATACTTAACATTAAGTCAGGAGCAGTGGTGCACAACTGAATCTCAGCAATAAGGGAGGCTAAAGCAGGAGGAGTGAAAGTTTGAGTCCCAACTGGGCAATTTAGGCAAGATCCTGTTTCAAAAAAAAAAAAAAGAAAAAGAAAAACAAAAGAAAGCTGGGCAGGGTGGCATACACCTGTAATCCCAGTGCTCTGGAGGTTGAGGCAGAAGGATTGCCACAAGTTTGAGGCCAGCCTGGGTTACATAAGCAAATTCAAGGACAGCCTCAACTGCCTAGTGAGATCATATCTCATAAAATGAAATAAATAAATAAAATAAAATAAAATAAAATAAAATAAAAGGTGCTGGAGATGAAGCTCAGTACGCAGGCTTGGGCTTAATCCCCAGTACTACAAAAATAATAACAGAGAAGAAAAGGACAACATTAAGGGGATAAGGGTAATAACAAGGCTCCAGAGGAAAAATGATGAATATACCAATTCTAAGAAGGAAAACAGAGAGTGACGGCAACAGAATTAACACTTGATTTGGAAGTTTCTGATTCTTTTCTGTGGTCTGTTCTCTTCATTGTTTCAAGAAAACCTCTTTTTGTATCTCTGCTAAGTTGTTCTCCATCTAAGCTTCATTTTCTGCCTTTCTTCATGTTTCTGAAGGTGACCTCTATTGATTGTGTCACCTATGCTTATTTATTGACTGTGTCTTAGTTATTTTTCTCAATGTTGAGAGAAAATACCCAGCACCTACAGGTTAAAGGAGGAGGTTTCAGTCCATAGACACCTGGCTCCAAGGAAAGATGGCACGGCAGAGGGGCATCAAAGAAGAAAAACAGTCCATGGCAGGATAGCAGGCAGCAGCAAGCAGCAGCAGGAGCAAGTGACTGCAGCAGCCTTCTTCCTGCCCCTTATATTGCGTACAGGGTACCTGTCTTTAGGGTGGGCAGTATTCATATCAAGTGTGGGACCCTTAATCCCAATATCACACACTCTAGATCTAGCCACCTCTGAAATACCCCACCTATGACTGCATGAGGCTTTTGAGGAAACTTCTAGATATGAGACATAAGAGACTGACTTCTGGTTGGGTTTAGCCAGGGGAGTGTAGAGGAAACAGTGGTTAGGGTATTAATTCCATTTCTCGCTGCTTGGCTTCTGTGGTTTTGACAGAAACTGTTTCATTCCAATAGCACAGTTCTTGCAGGGCTGTGCTTTTCCCCAGCCCAGTTCTATCTGGGCTCTGATCACACCATTTCCTCCCCTTCCTCCTCAGCCCAGGTATGGTGATGGATTCCCACCCTTGCCAGCTCTGGGTGCCTCAGCATGCCTGCTTGAGGAGTTTTTTCATGAAGGGATTCTTTAAGTAGACCCTTCATTAAAGCCTCCTCATTTGAAACATCTGAGTGGAGCTTTATTTTCTAGCTCTGAATGAATACAACACATCTTTGTTATGTTCTACTTTACTCCCTCCCTCCCTCCCTTCCTTCTGCTTTGCCTATGCTAGGTAAGCACTCTACCACTGAGCTGCTTCCTTAGCCAATTGCAGTCTATCTTTTCAAATATGAAAATTTTCCCAAAATAACTGGGTTAGCACTAAGGGCACTCAGCTAGGCTCAGACTGCACATGCTTTATTCCTGCAGTCCCCTCCTAATTGAATTAGACTCTTGGCAGTAAGGGAGCCTTCCAAAGAGCTGACCGGAAGCATCAGTTTTGCATGTATTATGACTTGGCTTTCCAGTTGCTTCAGGCTCCATGCCTGGGCTTCAACTTCTCTTCTATTAGCTACTGTCCCCTTTCATCTTCCTGTGATTGTCCATGATACCTGATTCCATTACAGAATGGTGACCTTCTAGAGGTATTCTGTTGACTAATACTTCTAAGTGCTGCCAATTCATAGAGGAAAGGACTCTGTACTTGGCTTGTCTTCCTAACATTCTCATACACTTTTCAGTTTTGGTTGCAAAGCCAAAGACTTAAAACATTTTAGTTATAAAAGAGACACATTTAATTTCCAGAATCATGTATGCACTAGAACCAAAGCCAGAAATAGAAAAATTGTTCTAGAATTAGTCTGTCTTCTGCTTTCTTACCTCCCTTACTGTGGGCTTTTCATTCACCTTCAGAACTTGCTGTGCCTTGCTCCACCCAGAGCATACACACGACATTCTCCCAAACTCTGAACTATTTTTCCACCATCATCTATCTTGTGTGGCCTATTAGCTCTGCAGTGAATTCATAGATATTTAAAAATGGTATACACTGCACAGTTTAAATATTTTATAAGTTTATATTCCTTTAAAAAATTGTAATTTATCTCAAACAAAGAACTTCTAGGCTAAGAATTTCCAGCAACTTGCTGTACCTGGTGTGGAAACATTTTGCAGTACGCAGTGATTCTAAATTTCTTTACATTATGTTTTTAGCTGTCATGCAGATACTTGAAAGGAAAGCTCCTACACTTACAGGGAAAGAGCTGCTGCTCCTTTCAATGATGGGTAATTATTTTCAAGTTGTTCTATTGTTTCAGATAAAGCCCATCAAAGAAAATGAAGATCAGGTTAAAACCAGCCAAAGCCACCCAGCCCCTTTTCTAGGTTACCTAGAATAATCTTTGATCATTACAATGCCAAATTCTCTACCCTGAGATCATTCCCATTTGTCATTTTTGACCACGCAACATATGAAGAAGTATGACCTCAAACTGCACATGCCTCACATGTGATGATGAATCTTTCCTATATAAACATGCATAATTTTACCAATAAAAGTCCTTGCTTCCTTTGTTTAGGGAGAAGCACTTCTTTGAAAATTATCCCCAGTACTGTCTTTACTTGCTGTGAGTAATAAATCTTTCTTCACTTTTTTTATTTCTAGGTTGTGCTTATAGGCTTTGCACTCACCAGGGAATGAATCCATTGCATTCAGTTATAATATCAGCAACTAATGCTGGTTAACACGGCGTAGGCGATACATAGACATATTTTATATTTGGCAATATCTGTGATTTACATATTTTATATTTGGAAATATCTGTGATTTACACAATATGGTAATTGACTTTACATGCGTCTTCAAAAAATAGAACCAAGAACTACTTTATTATAAAAAGCAAAACTGGTCATTCATGTCCTCAATATGAACTAGGACATTCAATGACAAACAGAAATGTTAAACTAACCAAATTATTTGTTCAGGTTCAATTTTTCTATGACTGTGTGAATATATACACTTATTAAAAACTGTCCGTCTGGCTTCCAGGAATAAACAGTAGCATGATTCATAGGGAAGAAAAGGCCCATAAGGTATGAAATCATCCCCAAGTCAAAAAGATGTTTATGGTTTGTTAGGAATCACTGTTATCGGAAAGTAGAGAGGCTTTTGGAATGTGGCTGCTCTCTGAACAAAGCCAGTAGCAATGAACACATGACCGGTCAATTTAATTTTCACAGAAATTACCTAGCAATGGTTTGGAGCTATGTGATTATTAGAGTTTCAGGAAACCTCTAAATCCTGTAAAGATGATATAGATATATTAAGACAGGAGCACCCCCAGAGAAAGCTATTAGGCTGTACTATAATCTAAGTGTGTGAACAAATAAAGAAGAAACAATAGGTTGTGTTCTGCATGGAGCACACATACAATGACAATTATTTTTTTCAAAGAGATAAGAATAGCAAGAATTAATGAGGGATTTTCTGGCAGTGTTGTACTGGAGTTGGCTAGGACAGGTGAGCTAACAAATATTCAGGAATTTTGTGAGCCATTGTTAGTAGCATAAAATCAGCCCCTGTGGGAGTGTTTGTACCATTAACAATGGCAATTGCTTTTTTCTTTCTTTTTTTGAGACAGTCTCGGGATGTAGTTCAGGCTGGCCTTACACTCACTATACAGCCCAGGTTAGCCTTGACCTCACAGTGACCCTTCTGCCTCAGCCTCCCAAGTGCTGGGATTACAAGCATGTTGTGCCACCATGCCCACTATGACCAGGACTTTTATGTTTTGCTATGTTTTCAGCAAGCTGGTCACCAGCCCAACACTGTCTACTGCTATTGAAGGTGGAACAGTTATATCTGTCAGGAATGTGTATTCCTTACAGAGGTTTGTGCCGCTGTGCAGGAGTCACTATCAGTTAAACTAGTGACAAGAAGCATACTAAGAGTTCTTTATAGTTAGCTTTTTTCGTGATGCTAGAGATAGAACTTGCTAGACAAGTGCTTTTTCAATGAGCTGTACCCCAGCGCAGGTATGTGTTACTGTGCAACTGGAAATGCTCATCCTGTATTTCCTAGAACCTGGAATTAGTGCTCCTCTAATTCTCTTTCCTTCCAGTCCATGCTCACTAAACAAACTTCTGCTTATCTGTTTGGTAGCAGTAACGAGTTGGTGTTAAATTGTACTTCCTGAAGTTTTAGGAAGTCTAAGAAGCCCTCCTAGGCACATCTAGGTGAAGGACATATGCAGCTCAGCAGATCTTTCATTTATCTTCAAATAGAGCAGCTTCATTTTCTCTGTTTTACACATTAGTTATCTATAAAACAAAATAAAATAAACACCAAACCAAACCAAAACAACAAATAAAAACTAAGTAGTTGCTTGAAGAAAGCATACTACTGCTAAGAGAAAAAAAAAACTTCTGAAAATAATAGGCCAGAGCTTTTTGTTCATCCAAAAAGCATACCCCTTAACATCCACCATTGTTGCAAGTTCTTATTACTCTTGAGAAAATTTAATTACTCGTGAGTTTAGTTAGCATCAGTTTTCTATCAGTGGATAGTTGGTGTCTTAGTTACTTTTCCTGTTGCTGAGACAAACTATCTGACACTCAGAATTAAAGGAGGGAAGGTTTGTTTGGCTCACAATTTGTAGAGGTTTCAGTTCATAGTTGACTGGCTCCAAGACAGGGTAGCACAGCAGAGGGGCATCACAGAGGTGAAACAGTTTATGGTGGGCAGAAGGTAAAAGCCAACAAGGCAGCAAGCAGCAAGTGGAGATCCTCTTTCTGTCCCTTATATTTTATCCAGGCTACCCACCCTTAAGGCAAGTAGAATTCACATCCAGGGTGAGGCACCCTTAATCCTAGCATCTCAACATGAATTAACCCCAGCATCACATCCTTTATCACAGCATCATGCATCCTACATCCAGCCACCTCCAAAAAGCCCCACCCATGACTGCATGACTCTTTGAGGGGGGCATCTACATACAAACCATAACAGTTGGGATGCATCTATGGAAAAGTCAAGTTTGCTAGCGAATCATGTTGAAGACCAGACCCATCAGTGAGGAATTAAACTTGTCAGATTCCTACTGGGACAGTTGGCAGGCTGTCTCTTCTCATAGCTCTCTCAAGTGCAGCAGCGAAGAAATAGTCTCTTTGCTAGAGGAGAACCAGAAAGTGAGTTGATTAGGTGAGCTGGGCCCAAGTCATGGGAAATACTTTGTCGTTGAAGATGCCATCTCTTCTAATTACAGAAGAGATCCTTTGTTTCTTATGTAAATCTGGAAAATTAGGAAAGTGAAAAAGATAAACAAAAATCACCTATCTGCCTTCCAAAGATAGTTGCCATTACTTTTGGTATATATTTTAGTTCATTTTGTTTTACATCACATAATACATGAGGTAGGCTAACTTTATAAAGAAACCTTGTTTATTCAGCTCAGCCTTTCAGAGGCTAAAGTCCAAGATCATTTTTTTTTTTGGTTTTTCTCCGGTACCGGGAACCGAACTCACGACCTTGCGCTTGCCAGGCAGGCGCTTTTTGCCGCTGAGCTAAATCCCCAGCCCCCAAGTCCAAGATCATTGGTTCAACTGCTTGTGAGGGCCTCATAGCAGTAAGGGGAGGAGAAAATGACATTTTGAAATAAGAAGCCAGAGAGACATCAGGGGCCAGCCTCACTCCGGTAACAGCTCTCTCTCCCCCTTTCTGGAGACCCAGGAACAGCACTCCAACCCTTTCTGCAGGCAGAGCCTCCACACACTGAGGACCTTCCACCGCGTCATCTGTGACGGCCATCGGCACCCCCGCCAGCATACTGAGACTAAGCTTCCACACATGAACCTTTGTGGAACAATCCAAATCCAAAAAAGTAGGATATATAGTACTTGTTTATACAAACACATATATTCATACTTGCTCATATAAATGACGTTTTTCAGAGCAGTGTTTTTCTAAATTTTGAGTATATAATGTCATGCTACTTGACTGGTTTCCAACACAACTGCCTCAGCTGGGACACATGCATGTAGCTTGATCTATACAGGAACAGGCACCTTTCTAAGTAAAAATCTAAGTAAAAACAAATGTAAAATTTTCAAATGTTAACAAATCAAGTAGCTACTTCAGTAGAATCTGTGTACACTTGGCATAACTTTTGTTTTTGCAGTATATAATGTAAAGGCACAAAATGGAATTCAATAAACATAAATCTCCCTCCTTCCTTCACCCAGAAGCCTCCATTTCTTCCCAGAGGCAGCCACAGTTATTAGTATGTTGTTTTGTCTTTCAGAGATATTCTGAAGTATATCCCTAAGCTTTAATAATTAATATAAAGAAAAGATTTTTGGTTTATATATGGAAGTAGAAGTCAAATGTTTTCAAGTTTTTATTAGAATTTTTAAAAAAGTGTTTTTAAGATGGCTCATACCTCTAACTCCAGCACTCTGTGAGGCTGAAAAAGGAGGATCACAAGTTCAAGCACAGTCTATGCTGCTAAGTAATTTAGTGAGATCCCATTCCAAAATAAAAAAAAATTAAAAGGGCTGGAGGTACAGCTCAGTCCAAGGTGCTGGGCTTAATCCCCAGTATTGAAAAAAAGTTTTTTTTTTTTTTTTTTAAATCTTAATTAAGCATCATATCCTGCTTAATATCCTCCAAAACTTTCTAGCAAAGTAGATGACAAGAGCTGAATTATGTCTTCATCAATCAGGAAAATGATTCCTTAATCAAAAATCTCCAAGCCCTTCGACACATAATAATGGTTAACTCTGGAGATGCACCCATCTCTTCCTGTTGAACTCCACTGATCAACCCTTTTCTTTTCTCCTGTTAGACAGTGTGCTTATGCAGGGGCCACTAGAGGGATGAGCATGCCCACCTGATGGTGAGTCTAGGAAGAATTTCAAACCTCATCTCAGCATGATTACCTTGACCAAAATCCTACTTCTAATTTCTTGGAGGTGTCATGTCCATTTTCAGTTAAATGAGCATGGGGTGAATAACACCTATGTTTATTTTTTAGAAGTATTTCTATTGCTGAATTATTAATTTTAATTTTATGAGTTTTAGTATATTTAACAATGTGTCCTTAACAGAAAAAACCTGTTTAAAGTATTGAATTTTTAATATTTGTTTACAAATAAGCATATAAATTTCAACATCAACTGACTTTTGTTTACAAAGTCTAAAAAATAACAAGAGAAATACATTCCTATAGCAACTACAGTGAAAATACCAATAAAACTCTACAACAAAAATAATCTTCATATATGATCTCAGAGGGGGGGAGAATTGACCAGGTGATTTTTTTTTTGGTATTGGGAATCAAACTCAGGACTAAGCAGTTGCCAGGCAGGTACTGTGCTGCTGAGCTATATTTCCAACTCCAGTCTCCACATATGAAAACAGCACATTCCATACACAAGTATCATTTACACCGATAGCACCTGGGTTTTGCTTTCCTGTCATTTTTGTAGGACATACTTGATATCTCACTTGTCTTTTTTTGTAGGACATGCTTGACATCTCACCAGGAACATAAAATATCACTAAAATAAAGTATTATATTTTTAATATGTATTGTGCATTTAAACATCAATATTTTCAACATAAAGTTTGCTCACAAAATCTAAAAAATAACAACAAAAATAAATTCCTATATGTATTACAATGAAAATACCAGTACAACTCTACAATAAAAATAATCTTAGCTTCAATTGTCACACCCAAGGAAGTCTTCACACATGACAACTGCATGTTCCATACACAAGTCTCGCTTACAATAACAGCACATGTGCTTAGCTTTCTTTCCTGTGTGGCAGGCCATTCTTGTCATCTCTCTTGTCTTCCTCTTTTGTCAGGAGTTTCTTTCTATATTGTATAAAATGCACTTATCAGGAAAACAAGATATCAATAAGATTAAATATCAAATATGTAATGAGTACTTAGAATAGACATTAACATTTTCACATCACCTGTTTTACTTTCAAAACCTAAAAGATAACATCAGAAATAAAAATCTAAGTGAACTACAATGAAAATACAAATAAAAGTCTATCACAGAAATAATTTTTGCTTTAACTGTCACACCCAAGACAGTCTTCACACATGACCTGTGCATGTTCTGTGCACAAGTATTGCTTACACTGATAGCACATGTTTTGTTCTCTTGTCCTTTTTTTAGTGCATAGGTGACATATTTTTAGTTTTCTTGTTGTCTCAGTAGGTCTTTTTGATGTTGTACCTGCCTATACATCTGTCAGCTCACGAGTATGCTCCATAATTTTTTTTTGCACAGTTCCTTGGGGAGAAATATTTTGTTCTTCCTCTGTTATAAGTGATCTGAAATTATAAATTTCAATCCCAGTCCTATAAGAAAATTTCTCTGTGATATTTTATACTTGTATTTTCTTTGTAAACTATGAAACTAGTAATGTCATACATATTTAGGATAGAGTAAAATACAACATTGGTCAACACTTTGTGTTTCAAGTGACATCATAGTTGCTGCATAAGTAGTTAACAACATCTACTCCACCTTTGGTTTTGTTGTAAAAAGTTAGTCTCTAGCTTCATTTTTGTTGAATTTTCTTTGTCCATCTTGCCATCATGATACAGTGTTGACATTAGCAGTACCACTTTGTTTTTATTTGCCATATACAAACAAGGCCAATGTTATGGTTTTTTTAAAAAAATTATTATTATTATTTGTTATAAAATTCTCTATATAATTCTCTATTTTGAACTTGCAACATTTCACTAGGAATTTCTGGGGTTTTTTTTGCATATAGTTCCTATACTGGTCAATTCATGCTGTAAGCAAATGTAACATCAACGGGTAACTGGTAAACCAATTGTTGAATGTCTCATTCTGATTAGTTTGGGAGATAGGAGCACGAAGATTGTTTACAACATAATTTGGTTTATTACTGTATGAATAAAGACCTGGCAACTGTGTTCCAGGATAAATTTCTGAATTGAAAGTATAATATGTCTTTACACCTACCAGAGTATATATTTTTATGCCATATTTTGAAGGCTTATTTGGCAAATACTACCTAAAGTTACAGCAACCACGAAATGCTGCAAGCTGCTCATCAGTAGTCAAATATTTAGATGTTGTGCAAAATGCTTGACATTTTGAAACAAAGCCCTCAAACAAGGAGCAGATAGCAGCCAGATTATGGGTTCTTTCTCTCTTTTGGTGGGGGTTTTGTCCTCAAACCTCAGGCAATTTTGAAGGAAACCAAATCTCCTCAGTGTTGTTATTCTACAGACCTCAATCCCACACCCATCACTTCTCCAAAAGTCTTACATTTCTGCAATTACCACGAAAAAGCCCTGCTAAATACAGCAGATCTATGAATGTTCTCAGTTCGGTGAGTGAGAGAGTATAATAAATACATTTTCAAGTCTGACTATCAGTGCATACAGAAGGTTTTACTTATATTTCATCATTTTTGTATTTCACAACGTCTTGTAGAATATCATCTGTTAGAAACAATTTCCAACATTGAACCATAGTGCTGCCACTCCAGTTTCACCCCTGCCAAGAACCTAATTATATTTTTGGATCTAGTCCTAACATTGGACCATTCAGACATGTAGACCATTTTGCTGTGTTTTGACTAGTTAAGTATGTACTCAGCATTGTTTTCTTCCTCATCTGAATCAAGGAGGTCTTCATTCTCTGTGTCTGCATCAGTTGATTCTTACTCCATTTCACTGTCACAGGAACTTTGGCTCAAATGGCCAACATCAAAGTGATCATCATCATCATCATCACCATCATCATCTGTGCATCAGTCATCTGATAACTCACTTTGGACTTCCTCCCAAAGTTACAAATCTGGGTTTTAAAGTGCCATTGCACTGAATTGGGCTAATTATACAAGAAAAAAATAAAACATTTTTAAAAACAAACTCTAAATGCACAGAAATTTAGCAACGAGCATTTCATGGGTAAAATACCTCTTGCTACTTTGGAGCTACAGTACACATCTTGCCCTTCATCTGCGAAGTGGGTGAATGCACAGATGGGTTCCTGTTTTCCCCAGATGCAGCTACTATGAGCCATACCTGGCTTCCATTATGGTAAAGTACATATTTACATTACAAAATTATGGTATGGGTGTATTTTAACTCTCTTGATGTCCAGGATACACACATATAAAATGTTACATGCCAATTATGTGGGTAAAAATCTTGACACTTTTGCACATGTGTACACACCTTGCTATTTGTCATAAGTGAATACAAAGATTGCTTCCTGTATCCCCCAGGTACAGCTACTGAGATTTACAGCCAGCTACCATGATGCAAAGCCCATAATTCCATTAGAAAAATATGGTATGGGTATATTTTATCCACCATAATGACCCAAAGGCAGACTTCTGTTGTTTTATTTTTATGCTTAATTTTCCTTATGGCTAGATAAAGCTTCCCATCTATGTCATTTTCACAATGAACAGAAAACATGTAGTAAACCTCAATTGTATACAGGTTACTTAATAGCATCTTCACTTAGAAAATTACTTTGCCCAAGTTGGTGGAGAGGGTTTGGTGAAATGATAACTGTATAACAGACTTTCTCCAATTCAGAAATAAAAAGCACGTCTACATTTTCTGTCTATAAAGTTTTTAAGCATCCCAGTATAATCATATTTAAGATTATGCAAAGTATACTTAAGAAATCAGTATAGATATGATGATTCCCAGGAGCTGATCTATTGCCTACGTGTAGCCAACCTGGAGGTGGTATTAGTTTTCTATTGCTGCTGTAACAAATTATCATAGCCTTAGTGACTTAAAATAAAACAAATCTGTCATAGTTTCATTGTTCAGAATTCTAACAGAGGTCTTACTGGGATAAAATGAAGATGTAAACAGGACTGCATTCTTTTCTGGAGATTCTAGTGTAGAATTCATTTCCTTACATTTCCAGTGTCTAGACTCCACCCATATTTGCTGGCTGATCATCTCCTTTATCCAGCCTCAAAACCATGATTTTGCATCTTTGTGACCCATCTTGTTAAGTCATATCTTCTGACCATAGTGAGGAAAGGCTCACTGCTTTTAAGGGCTTTCATGCCTAAACTGGGCCCAGATAATTCACAATGATCCACAATATTCACCCTACCCCAAAGTCCTTACTCACTCTGCAAAGCCTCTTTTCCATGCCGGGTAATATAGTCATAGGTCTGAGGATTAGGGTGTGGACATCTGCGGGGGGGAGGGGGGGTGAGTGTCATTATTCTGCTTACCACCGAGACCAAGAGAAAATAATTCCCCCCCAAAAAAGGTATTCCTTCCTCACTGTCCTGTGCTAGAATGATTCTTTGGGAAATTCCTAAGTGGAGCCTGTGATGTCTGGCCTCAGTCTGACAATAGTTGTTTCTTACAGGAACAATATGCTAGCATACTGTGAACATGATCCATAAGCAAGTGAGCCAGTGCCACTCAGTGTTTTGCTGTACAATAGTTGTCAGACTGGGGCTGGGGATTTAGCTCAGCAGCAAAGCGCCTGCCTGGCAAGTGCAAGGTCATGAGTTCGATTCCTGGTACCAGAAGAAAAGACAAAAAAAAAAAAAAAAAGTTGTCAGACTTCACTAAGAGACATCTACTAATACTTTGGTAGGAATCCCTTTTATTTATGAAACCTCTGTTTTTGCTGTGTAAGGAAAAATTTTTTTTTACTTCAGTACTCTCATAGCACTTCCGTTCAACAAAATTGTGTTTTCTTTACCACTGTATTAATCAGCTTTCTGTCACTGTGAAAAAATACCTGAGATAAGCAACTTATAAGAAGGAAAGGCTTATTTTGGCTCACACTTTCGGAGGTTTCAGTCCATGGTCACTTGGTCCTATTGCTATCAGCAGCACAACACAGTATAATAAGGTAAGAGCACAAGGCAGAGGAGGTCTGTTTCCCTCATGGTGGTTAGAAAGCAAAAAGAGAGAAGGGACTGGGATCCCAATATCCCCTTCAAGAGTCTGCCTATAAGACTTAATTTTCTTCCACTAGGTCCCCTGTTCTAAAGGTTCCAAGAGTACCCAGGCTGCTACTAAACCACTATACATGTGCCTTTGGGAGCCACTTATCTGAACCATAGCAAAACCAAAGAATTCCCTATTTCTTGGGAGACACTGAGTGGCCCTCCTATCATTTTATTCCATTCGAACACTCTACCTGAACACATTCTCAAATTATAAGGCTGTGAGCTTGCACACGCCCACCTCAGATGTCAATCTCAAATCCAGGTTGTTGATGGTGCTTCTGACTGACGGCACTAAGTTAGTGGTTCCATCAACCTGCCCTCAGTCAGATCATTTGCTAGAATGGGTCACAGAAGTCATGAAACCACTCCACTCACTATCATTCATTCACTGTAAAAGAATAAAACCCAGAAACAGCCAGATGGAAGAGATGTATAGGGCAAGGTATGGGAATAGGAATATGGAGCTTTTTTATTTGAACTCACTTTGCAGCCCAGGCTGGTTTTGAACTCACAGTAATCCTCCAGCCTCAGCCTCCTAGTTCTGGGATTACAGGCATGCACCACTACACTTGGCTTGGAATGTGGAGCTTTTATGCTTCTTCTGGTTACACTATCCTGCCAGTACCTTCACATCTTCAACTACCAGGAAACTTTTTGAACTTTATCTGTTGGTTTTTATGGAAGTTTCATTACATTGGCCATTGGTGATCAACACAACCTTCAGACCACTTCAAAAGTGCCAACCCTCTAATCACCTGGTTGGGAGCCCCCAAACACCAAGGTGCTCATTAGCATACAAAAAGACACTACTTCAGAGATTCTAAAGACTCTGTGGCAGGAAACTAGACAAAGACCAAAATGTCTATTTCTTATTATATTACAATATCACACTTACCTGTTTGAAATGTATTTGTTTATAAACAGTCCAGATATAAATGTGTCACTGTGAATCCCAAACAATAGAAAAGGGAATTGTAAAAGTATTTTTACTAGTGTCCAGATTTAAAACTTGCTGAGCTTGCACCAAGGTCATGGGAAGGCATGCTTTTGAGGAATTGTGGGTCTAGACTCCTTTGGAAAATTGAAGATTCTCACAGAAGGAAGGCTGAAAAGATTACAGATGATACCAAAATATTTTGAGGGTATAATATATATGATGCATTGCCTGGTATATAGACGGATCTGTACAATATGCTGATGCCATCCCAGTAGAGAAGTATAGCCCTTCAGTGACACTCAAAGGTGACCCTAAAAGACAACAGAAAGGGAAATCCTCCCAGTGAGCAGAACATGGAACAAAATGTTTGGTTGTCCATGTCGAGAGGGAAGGACAGCCAGAAGGGTGGAGCAACACTGTCTTATGAACAGTTGCCAGTTATTTGGCTGAGTGATCAGGGACTTGGAAGAAAGTTTAGTGACAAGGAAATTAGTGAAGGAGCTTCCGTGTGGATGGACCTCTCTGAATGGGCATGGGCCGTAGAGATATTTTATTGCAACAAAGGGTACCCATTGCAGAAGGAGCTGTTAACAATCAGGTGGACAAAAGGATGCCTTCTGAGGGTATCAGTCTCTTTCTACAGCCACCTCAGTGTTTGCTTGAGGGACCCATACACAATGGGCTTTTGATGACAGGGATGGTGGCTGTGTATGTGTGCAATAATATGGATTTACCTCATGAAGGCTGACTTGGCTAATGCTACTGCTGAGTGCCTAATCTGCACAGTGGAGACCAGCAGGAAGTCCTCTGGGACAGCTTCTGCAAACTGTTCTCTTCTGCGTCCATGGTGGCCAGTAGCAGGTACCTCTTCTGGTACTTTCATAGTGGAATGTCTCCAATGAGACACCTGTGTATGAGCAGCTTTCCCTTGCACCCTACCAGGAAATTTCCAGCAAATTCCAGAGAAATAGCACCACAGGAAATAGTCTGCCGCCCCGTGAGTCACAGCTGTGCCCTCTCGAAGGTGGATCTCAGACCTGGGAGGCTGATACAGATAGAGAATCAATAAGCTCTCTCATTAATTTGATTAACTGTTGTGAAATTTCCTTCCAATAATAATAAATGAATCGCAAGCTGGTCTAATCCTGGAAGGATGAAGATTGTACCCCTAAATGTGACACACCCTAAAACAGTAAATATTTCCTCAAAAATACATGAAAATAAGTTTATCTATTCATCTGTGTTAGTACTGGAGATTGAATCCAGGGTATAAACACTGACTTACAAACCAGCCCCTTTTTATTTTTTATTTTGACACAAGTTCTAAGTCACCATGCTTGGGCTAGGACTTATGTCCCTCCTGCCTTAACATCCAAGAGTGCTAATAGCATGCACTACCACGCCTGGCAGGCTTATTTCTTATAGTAAAACCCAAAGCTGAACATACTAAGATCATGCTGGGTGACTTTTTGTTATTATATGAAAAAAATCTAAATTCTTCATATTTACATAAACCCTTGTACTGTATAAGATTGTCACAGAAGAGATTAGTATAGGAACAAGATTTCTAATACTTGCCTTTTGTTTCAGGCTAAAGCAGTCTTTTGCTGCTTCTGTTCTATGGCTGCTTTAAAGCTTGAAAGCTTAATTATTATTAGCATTCAGAAGTACTATATAATTCACAACCTATATACACTATACTTTTAATCCATTTAACACCTTTCAGAGTTAATAACTGAAATATTTTATTTGTTTGTGACCATTAATCATGATATGTCAACTTCAAGGCTTAAGCAATGCCTAGCAAATTAGTAAGGCACAGTTCTGGGTGTGTCTGTGGATGACTGACATGCAGGACAGCAAATTGAGAGGGGGAAGACCCACTCCAGTGTGGGCAGCAGTAACTAATAGGCTTGTAGTCTGGATGGAATAAAAAGGGAAAGAAGAAGTCTGCCCATTTCTAACAGCTAGTCTTCACCATTGCCTTGGACATCAGTGTCCAGTGTCTTCAGCTGTCCAATACAGACTCACACTGGCTACTATACAGAGAGCTCCAAGACCTTCAACCTTGGACTGGTACTGCATCCTGGACCCCTGTTGTTCTGCTTTTTCCACCTTCTTGGGTGAGCAGATTCTCAATCCTTGGACTCCTCAGCACACAGACAGCCACTGTGGACTTTCTCACTTCGGATCCTGTAATCTTACCTAATAATCCCCTACAAAAATTACACATATACTGATTCTGTTCCTCTAGAGAAACCTAATACAATGTTCATTGCAGAAAATTTAACAAACATTGAAAATAAAAGCAATACATTTTAATGACCCATATGACCTATAATCCTACCCTCTAGTGACAACTATTGTATTTTTTTTGTTGTTGTTGTTTTAGTTTTTCTCCGGTACCGGGAACCGAACTCACGACCTTGCGCTTGCCAGGCAGGCGCTTTTGCCGCTGAGCTAAATCCCCAGCCCCGACAACTATTGTTAAAACTGTATTTTTCAGTCTTTTTATTGGTACACTTTTGATACACATAAAGATCACATTTATAATAGGAATTTGTACCTGTACATGATATATCTTGATTCTTTATTCCCACTTTCTCCTCCTCTTCTTTCAATCATTCTTCCCCCTCCTTCTTCACAAAAACTTTGTTTCTACTTTTTCCTTCTATGTTTTCCCTTTTTCTTT